TTGGTTGGAGGCCATTGCTATTATTTGGTTGGAGGCCATTGCTATTAGGTTGGAGGCCATTGTTATTATAAAGGTTTCTTTTGCAATTCGGTTTCCCAGGTCGGTCCCAAAAACATGACCGATCGACCCGTTGTGCCGTTGGGCCACTGGGTTGGGAGTCCTACGAGGCCAAAGACTGTTTGCTTCGGACGGGATCTCCTTTTCTTAGTTGAGCAGAAAGCTGTGGACGGCCGGGAAAGAGCACTTGCTACTTGCTTTGTTCTTTCATGTGGAAAATGTTTGTTCAGAGTCGGAAGAGCTTGAAACTGATCCATGATGGTAGGTGCGCAGGTGTGCAGGTCATTCGTTTCACTCTGCGAGTCTGGACTGTTTTCCTTTGTTTTCTCAGGCCGCCAAGTCAAATCTGGCGAGTCTGGAAACACTCAACATCACCCAACCCACAAACTGTCGAATCGAAAACTGACTGTCCGCCATCGAACCACATGGAGGGATGTCCACAAACAAACCATCCGTCGAGTGCGAGAAAGTCACCTTGCTGATCTTTGTTGTGTTTTTATACATCCACCTGCTGAGCGGTGCAGTCCATTCCAGGACAATCTCATGCTGTCGCAAGTACCTGCCATCTCACAGGAAGCAGAGTTGTCTCCTGTGCCTCTAGTGAGCTTGGACAAGAACAGCACTTCTTCATATCTCTTTTGCAACATCTCACCATCCCAGCACGAGACTCCACATGCGGCACCTGAACTTCTACCATCTCCAAAGTGGTTTTGGAGCGGGGCCCAAGAGCGCGGTGGCCGCACTTGGCGCGGCCACCGGGGGTTCACTGCGGCTCCAGCGGAGGCCTCCTCCGAAGATCTGAGCTCCGGGTCTGCGGGCGGCTCCAGCCTGGACTTTCAAACACCGCTGGACGAGCCCGGGCCCCCGGGCAGGACCCAAGACCAGAAGTGGATTGACCCGGAGAGAGTTGGAGCGCACGTTTGTGATCAGGAACCTTGTGAACCTATGTGAACGTAAACGCTTAGCTGGTAGACATGCCTTGAACGATGATGCCAAGGCCCCCAGGTAGAAAACAACCAGCTTACCTGTAGACAGGGGCCCGTGCCCAGTCAGTGCTGTGGCCTACTTTCCAGATTAGCTGAATGCGATTGAAAGGAGTTGGTTGATTTGTAGAGGGGACACCACCAAGTGAACCCCTCATTGATTGAACGGATTCTATTGGGAACCGAACGACTCAGACGCCAACAGATCCCCCAATCCGCCCAGGATCGCCCCCTTCGTCCGCAGCTTTGCCATGGCCACCGGTGCACCCATCAGCTCAGCGGACTGATTTTGAGGTCATCTCGGTTCGCAGTCAAGTACTGTAATCAATTGGCCAGAATGCAGAGACCATGCCCTTGAGATCACTGAAGCTTGTGGAAGCTATGTGTTTTTGGCAACGAGCTTTCATCGTTGGGTCCGCGCACCGTTGATTCGGTGCGGTGCGTGGGCGTTGATTCGGCCCCTATGCGGGAGCCCGCATCATGAGAGGTATTGATATCGGCGGCATGGATCTTGCCTTTCCAGAAAATGGCGAAGGCCTTCGTCGTGACGTTTTGGCCACGGTGACTGGGCTTGGTGTTTTCACCGTGACTGGTGGATTGGGGGTTCCAAGGAGCCGTCCCAAGCGGGTCAACAGAAAGTTCAGCTTTCCTACAGACCGAGGGGGCCAAAGTACTGCAATTTGACTGCTGTATCTTGCATAACATAAGGCACACCTTGAAGGGATTTGAGGCATCTCAACGCCACAAAAAGGACTCCTTCCCGTAAACCCTCGCCCAATACCAAAGCCTTCTATCGATTTGAACATGTTTGCATAAGGTCCTTGTTTGCTCATGTTTCAACTCATGTGTCAGGAATTTCTTTACACATCATGTGTGTTCGAAGCATTCCCAAGCTTCCGCACTAGTCTCATTCACTTATCACTCGTAATTTTTCCAGATGCTTCGGATGCCCAGCATCCAGGACCTGTGGTCTTCGAAGTGTCTCCAATCTTCGACTTGAATCCAGAGCCACCTCCTGAGTGGAGACAAAGGCCATATCGTGAGCTGCTTGGATGAAGAAGAGGTGCTGCATTCTTTTTGGGAGCAAGATCTCTATAGTGGAGACAATTGTCTTCCAAGGGCATGTTGTTTCGCTTCCAAAATTATTTCAGAGAGTGTATATCTAGCAGTGAACGCTGCGAACGCTGAAATAGGTGGCAACCTTCTTTTTTGTGGAGCCAGGGGTTGCGCTTTTTCTTTCCGCCAAGCCAATGCTGTGGGTTTTGACCCCCTAGTCTCAGGTACAAAGAGACTGAGGACTACAAGCAGAGGTGGGTTCTTGGGGATGTCGATGTTGTGAACAGAGTTTTTACACAGAGGTCTTTGGGCATCGGGCAGACACTGTTTCATGTGTAGGCTGCGCGGGGAAATCATCTCATAGTAGAGAATTGACCAGCAACCTCTCTTCTGCGCACGAGGCGTGCAGAGAACTATGCTCTATGTGCCCAGAAGGCCCGGGCGACGCGTCGCGTTCCCGTTCAGGCGACGCATGGACGATCCTTTTATGCAGCAGTAGACACGATACCTTGGGGCCCAACGTATGATGTCACACCGAAAGAGGAAGACAGCAAGCAGCTGTTGGTAAGCATGGAAAAATGGAGTATGGCTTGGCAGGTTCTGATTTGGCTTGGCAGGTCATTGAGTATGCACTTCACCGACGAGGTCATTTGTTTGTTGACATCGACAACACCATCAGCGATGCTTGGAAGCGCATTCAGCGGGTTGGGGTCTCAGCCACTGCTGCTTCAGAACTTCAGTACTTCACTGCACGCTTAACGGTTGAACGAAAGACAGACCAGCATAAGACTCGGTTTGGCCGGACGTCGTAAAGCTTTGGCAGGACGCGTGCAACCCTGCGTCGGATGTTGGATTTCCCGAATCATAAGAACGGTGCCAGTGTGTGCCCAGCACAACGCAGGTGACCTGCATCAAGATGTTCCCTACCCAGAGTCATGTTGGATGCTGATTAGTAATAGAGCCCTCTATAGCCCTCTATAATGCTGCTTAGTAGCAGGGGGGACCCCCTTCTACTAAGCAAAACACTAGGCTGTCCATTCCATGAGACTCTGAGACTCTGTTGATGTGGGGCGCCGAGGCCACGATCCCTGCGTGGCCGGGCTCCAGCTTCGGCGCGGAGGCGCATTCTCCAGAGGAGCACGAGAGCGATCGGATACTGTTGGGGAGCGACCCGGCGCACCTTTAGTCGTGGGAGGCACCAGATATTTCCGTCGGCCCAGATATGCGGTGGTTGGTTTGGGAGCGTGGTGCCGACTATTGCGGACCCCTAAAAGACTCCCAGATAAGTTAAGGCATAAGGTGTGCTTTCGAAGTCCTTGAAGGGGGGCTTTTCTGAGTGACAGCTGTGCACACGCGGAACACGTGTGCGAAGAGCCACGACCGAACGTAGACAGTGGTAGAGACAAGTGGAGACCAAGTGGATCTAGAGACAAGTGGTAGACTCGTAGACTTTGGTAGACTAGTAAACATGATTAGGAGAGACCAGTCTCAACTTTTAAAGGGCAAATCATAGGATAGTTGAGATGTCCATGAACTGGACAAGTTAAGGTCTCTCGAGGCCAAGCTTCTGACAAATATCCAATGGAAAAGATGGACAAGTAGAGAAGCCCAGCACCGCACATATCACTGATCTAGTACAACATATACAACACTTCACCATACGTCACACATCTCCACTCGACAAATCACCAAAGCCCAGATCAACACTATAGATGATTGCAACACTTCGCCACATGGCCTCTCACCACACATCACCCCAACAACTTCCTACTACATAAGTATAGTATAGTATAGTTATAAGTTATCATGTGCCTCTCTTCAACAAACCCGGAAGTGGAGAATCCTTGCTATTCGGAAGACCCCCTGCTGTGGGGCCAGGCCATCCACTTCCATGATTCTTCAAGGAATGTATCCACTTTTGGGTCCGACAAGACTCATTGGGGTGAAGAAATTCCTGGACTATGGAACACCAGTCCACGCCCACCCATGGGACGGACAGCCTGTCTCGTCACGACCACGTCGACCGTCACGTCGCGAGTCACGTCGCGAGTCACGTCGCGAGTCACGAGGAGTTGGCCAAAGATTCGCCTCTCCCAGGTGGGTCGCGACGTGACCGGTCGCGCGCGGTCCACGCGACACGAAAGGATTGACTGCAAAGAGTTGACTACAAAAGGATATTTGCTGACCTACGGCTGACCTACTAGTCAGGAAAGGTAGCTTCAGCTACCTGAGTTCTCCTTGCTTTAGCAGTTTAGCAAAAAAGTATTGCACTCTGGAGTTGGGATTATGCACTGCGTTTGGTCCTGTAAGAAGGGATTCTGTTTGACGGTCCCCCCACCTGGATCAAATCCTCATAAATCCCCCTCGCGCCGTCGCTGTTTGGGTCACAATCAAGGAGTGAACAGTGCTTTGAATGGCGTACTGCAAGACCAGCGATGATGCGGATGTGAAAGATTTGCTACCTTTCGTTCACCCCCTCCTATCTCAAGTGTGACCTTAGGGATTTCTAGCAGTAAGGTCATCCAAAACCGAAACAACCTCTGCCAAGGATCTGCTTGCGGATGTTTGAACACTGGGTTGAGAGCGGAGCCAACCTGTGATTATTTGGAAGAAATGGAAAGTCCAGGGATGACGAGCCGACTTGACGGCATTTTGCTGTTCCACCGATGCATCCGGCTGAATGGTTCTAGCCCGCCCAACAAGCCAGACTTCAAGGCCTCCTATCCATCCACCAAGAACAGGGGACGTAGACAAGTGCAGCTGACATTTTCGGCTTCCTGACACATCCCCACCGCGAGGTGCACAAAGTGCTTTGGCTTCCTTGACTCGCGACTGGGAAGTCACCTACCTGTCAGCTGGAGGGCCAAGCCTTGCGACGCAAGGAAGTTGTGGTTGGCAGCTTTCGAAGCAAAAAAGAGACAAAAAGAAAGTACGGCCCCCTTTAAGAAGAACGCTTTTAAAGGGGCCTTATTGCTGTACATGGGCCCGAGGCCCTTCTTTTTTCTCCAGGGGTTTTACTGTACAAGAGTTTAGAGAATAGCATATATATTATATATATATACATACATACACATTAGACGGTCTATATATCGTAGTTTTTGGCACCTTTGTGCCCCAAGAGGCTCTTGAGGCCATTCTTGGGTGCCTTTTGGAGCCCCGAAGGTTAATTTCCAGAATCCTGAGATAAGGCGGTAAGGTGTATGTATATCATGAGATATCATTGTTCACTTCAGCAGATTCCTCCTCCTGAACTTCTTGAGTTGCCGGATTGGGCCGATGTGGATGTGGCCATTGAACAAATCCGGGCAGATTTGCTGGGAGGAGCCGGGTATAGGTCTTCAGTGTCGGAATACGTAGCAAAGCAGGTGGGGCAGGGACATGATCTATAGTAGCAAGACAAGCTTATGCTTCATGATGCCGAGGTGAAACGCTTCACGATGCCGAGGTGAAACGCTTCCAATCTTCATACCCAAACCTGCCGTTTCTTCAGGGTATTGGACATGTTTGATGTCCATGTTAGTTTCGATGAAGATGTGTTCTTCTGCGAGGAATTGCGAGAAAGCCTTTGAGCTTGAATCGGTTGTGTTTTTACGGAGCCTGATTTTTTCCATTTCTTGTCCTTTTTCCTTTCTTCTTTTTCCTTCTCCTTTGCTTTCCTTGTTCCTTACCTGTTTCTTTTTCGCCTACCTGTTCCTTTCCTCTTACCTCATGCAGATTATATACTGAAATCATTCATTGAGCCTTCGCTTGCTCAGAGAGTCGGCTCCTGAATTGATAAGCCTCAGTATGATGCATGCCTGGGTTCAGACGATTGGAATGAGCAACTGGCTGGAGAATCTGGAGCGATTGGTTGGAATGATATCCCTTACCCTTATCCTTCAATCCATATTCTTTTTGCTTTTACTTTTCACTTTCCTTTTCCTTCTTTCCTTTCCTTTTCTTGTTGATAATGAGCCTGATCTTTTTGCTCTTCCTGTCCATTTTCCTTTTGCTGTTTGTTTTTCTTGTTCTCTTTCCTTTCTTCTTTGTCTTATCCCTCTGCCTGCCTTTTTCGTAAGGAGACCCCAGCCAATTGGTCGACTGGTCCATGTTCACGGGGTCCAACTGGGAGGTCCAGTCTCCCCTTCCATCGGTGCTTCCTTTTCAAGGCACGTGGAGCGGCGGGTGCCTTTGAAGCGACATGCGGATGGCTGAAGAAGCATGGTTTTCCCAATCATGGGCGACTGGTGCTGGTCAGGGCCCTGTGGGTTTGTTGGACAAATTGTTCATGGACATTGATGGAAACTTTTGGATTTGGAGAATCAGTCTGGAACAACAGAGAACAAGATGTGAGGGACCTCGGGTTACACCCGTGGACAGTCTGTGTCATAGAGGGTTCTCTTGCAGGGAAATCAACTTTTAAGGGTGCTGTTGATGTAGATGGGAGGGGAATGGATGGGATATTTCCAAGTTCGCTGCTCGCCTTTTGGGCGGTTTGTGTTTGACCCAGGTCTCGACTCCCATCGAGAAGCTCGCTTACCTGCAGGACGACCATGGGACGACGGGACTGGTTTCAGGACCATGTCCGGTCAGCAAGTGCAGTTGCAGCAGTTGACGCCAATCCTTTGCTTCAATGGGCTCGAAGCAGAGGGCGAAGCAAGAAGTATTGGCAAACTTCCACGAGTTGCTCTGTCAGGCCACACTGGATTCTGACAGACTGGGCGCACGTAAGACTTGGTCATATCATCATATCGACACGTTCTGAAAGAACACACCAAGAACCACACGGTCTCTGCATTTGGGGTTTCTTTTGAGGCTAAACTCAACTTGAGAAAAAACTCAGATTTCCGGTTGAAGCCTCGAAACTGAGACTGTCATGAGGCAAGCTTGAATCTCTCTTCAGATTGTCTTCAGAAGGTCTTCGTTCAGCGCGTTCAGACTCTCCAACTCCTGAAGGGGACCGCATAGATCCTACATACCATTACTTACAGATCACTGCTCCATGGAGTCTGCAACGCCGATGTTGGCCTCAGTGCTGCTGCGGGTGGCACCGCAGCGTTGCCAGCACGGCAAAGGACGATTGGGGCCCACATGAAAAGCCCACAGAGACCAATGATGTCCAACGCACTCTTTCCACAGGATATTTTTTTCTGGTACCTATTCCTTTGCGGACCACACATAGTGTGCAAGGTGACATGGGGCCCACATGTTTCCTTGGTGGGGCGAGGTGTCCTTGCAAGGACAAACAGCACCGAACATGGGGCACGGGACTTTGCAGCTGTTTTCCTTGGGCGTTCATGGGGCCTTGGAGATGGATTTGTGGCGGTTTGAGGATTTGTGATGGATTTCATCACCAAAAGCAGCTGGATAGACCCATTGTCGCTCCACAAAAGCCAATGTGGTCCGAGAGCTGATGCAGGATTCAACATTTCACCCAGGGTGTCCATGAGTCCCTATAGGACACGTCAGAACAAATCCATTCACCTTCTTGGGCGATCGACGGTCAGGAATCAATCGTCCAAAGACAGGGAAGAAGGTTAGTTCACCGATGTGGCTGGTGCCTTGGACATACAGGCAAGTAGGGTTGTGCTGACCAGGGTAGGACCGGTGTACACCAGAACACACCGAGCACCGTGCGCTGCCCGGTGTACACCAAGAGGTGTCGTTCCTGTTCCGTGCCTGTGCCGTGCCCTTGCATTGGCCGGGGCATGTGGTCCATAAGTCCTTCCTAAGGCTTGCCGCAACTCTTGGAGTTCTACGGCGGCTTGGGCATGCGGAGCATGCCGGGGCACTCGCCAGTGGAGCTGAGGATTCCTGGTGAGTCGCAGAGTTGCAGCTTGAAATTTCTGCCAGATGAGCAGGTGCCGTGGGAAGAACGACGTGAGACACACAATCGGTCCACTTGGAACCCATTTTGGCAGTGGGTGACCTCCTGGAAAAAGTGCTCTCACCAGTGACCAGGCTGGTTCCTGGTCAATCAGGGTCACCCGGTGCCATGGCCCACAGGCATTTAACATCATTTGTTTTGGAGTTTGCTTGATCCTAGATCCCTTTTTGAGGCGTTGAGAGGAGAACCCTTTTGAGGTCCAAGTGCAAACCGACGGGACGTCGTCGTCGCACAGTCCGGTCCGATGAAACGTTCGGGTGGCCTTGGATTCGCCGGTTTGGTTGAGCCAGTGGAGCCAACTCGCTTGCGACTCGACGTTTGTACAACACATTGGACATGACATGTGCTGATAACATAGCTATTCATGCACGTAACGTAATGATGTAATGTTTATAAATCAATCCGAATCCAATTAGTCCCAGTGTACTGAAGAGGTTGCACCATGCTGCGTCTTCAGTAGAACGGCAGTACAAAAGCTTTGCGGTTTCCTGTGCAGGTCAAGGTGGGCTACTCCCACAAAGGGAATGACTTGTACTGGAAGATTGGCCTTGCGATTGATGACGTTGACGCAGCGAGCAAGTGCCTAGGATGTTCCCCTGGATCGCAATTTCTGGATATTGGTTTTCTAACCCATTTGGCTGATCCTGCTGGTCCCTTGGCAAAACTTCGCGTTTCTTTTTTTATTGGGTCAGGTTCCGTTGGTACACCTTGCTTTGGAATGTGTTTTTTTGCATTATCTTCTTCCTTTTACATTTGCTTGGACCGTTTTTGGATCTCTTAAAGTTATTGGTGCGAAGGCTTTTGCATTGAGCTCCTGCAAACAACCTTCGAAGCTTCCTCGGCCCAACGCGCTCGGAGGCTGGCAGACCGCGCCGCTTCCGCGGCCGCGACCTCGCGGCTGGGGCAGTTCGTGATCGGTCAGATTACCACGCGCATCACTGAGCCAACACAAAGCCTGGACTTCTACCAGAAGGTGTTGGGAATGAAGCTCTTGTCGATTCAACCGGTGAAGCGCTACAACTTCACACTCTATTTCCTGGCCTACACGGAGGAGACTCCACCCAACGCGGATTTGGAGGCCGTGGAGAACCGGGAATGGCTTTGGCAACGGCCCTACACCACACTCGAGCTGCAGCACCGCTGGGGGAGTGAACCTGGGTCATTGCGCCCAGCGAAGCTCAGCTGATGAAGGATGGTCATACGTCATACGCGCCCATGAAGAAGAAAAGACTATCCTGTAGGAAGAGGGGGGTGCAGTAGGGTGCAGTTCTCAAAATTGAAAGGGCGGATCCGCTCCACCCACAGCTTATACATGCCTATATAATGTTTTGATCCATTTTGATCCCCACTGTGTGAACATCTTCATCTCAATGTTTTCAGAAACATGCTGGATTTATTCTGCACTGCGCTCCCTGGAACAACCATGGAAGCGGAAAACGGTCCCTTGGAATCCCTTGCATAACAATTTCCGGGTGGTGCCATCCACTTCTATGATTGTGTTACACTCCCTCGTGTCTTAAATCTGGGCTTTCGCACTTGTCCAGATTTGATCCAAGCACTTGGCTCCACACAGCGCTTCGAGTTTCACAAGAGCCCTCAACAAGAGCCCTCCTCGGGCCATATAAATGTACATGTATACATATATATATATAACTGCTGCTTAACTGTCACTGTGTGTATAAATATACGTGCACCCTCCAACTTCTTCGTCTGACCATTCCATGACGACAGCGACTCCTGACAAATGCGCAACATACCGGTATTAAGTTTCCATAAAACACTAGGAACCGTGCGAGCGCTTCTTCAAGGAAGGTGGCGGGCAGCTTCCTTGAAGAAGCGTGAGCTATCCTGCGTCCACGTGTAGTAGCTTACTTGTAGGTACTAGCGACTCCCTTGCTTCTACTAGCTACCTACCTCTAGCTACTCCCTACTCCCTACCTCAGTTGTGGCCTACCCCCCCCCGGTCTAAAATAGAAGAACAATAAGTGCACCCAACTCCCAGCCCCGTGAGCTCAGGCCTCCGGAGGAGGAGGGCTTGGTCTCGATCCAAGTCTTGTGGCCAAAGGAGCAGCTCAGCCGTTTGCCGCTCAATCCCAAGGGCCGGCTGAGGGATCCCGATGGCTTGGAGATCGAGGTGCTTGCGGTCTAGCGGTCTAGCTGGCCACGGTGGCGGTCGCGCCATGGGGAGTTCGGTGGCCGATGGTCCAGTTCGGATCAGAGGCCCCCGTTCGGATGCGCAGAAAGGAGTGTCGTGGGCAGGTTTGGCCCCAAGGATCGTCACAGCACAGGAGACCAACACAAGGCCCCCGCGGAGACCGGCGGCGGACGCTGAGGCTTCGACGCCGTCCTGGACGGAGACCGGCGCCTGGCGAGGGCGCAAAAAGGGCGCGCGTTCCGAACGCTCCCCGCGGGTGTCGGGGGCTTCGGCTCGGTTCGGTGCGGTTCGGCTTTTTAGAGGGACTTGGCTGATGCGGCCCGGGATGAAATTGGGAGTGGAGCACAAAGGGAGCGAAACATGATAGAAGCCTTCAAAACAACCATCCTACCATTATTCTTGTGCAGATGCGCTTCCTTCAGTGGTGGCAGCTCTTTGCCATATCGTTCACAAGTCCACTTTCACCGATGTGTTCTCTTCAGCGGTGAAGGGCTCCCGCTACTTTCACTTGGCCTTGACCTACTCAGGTGTAGCCATGAACTTTGAAAAAGGATCTGGACCGACCGGCGTCATCGTGTAATCCTTTCCCCAGCCGGGAGGATGCGAGAAGCTCTGGTCGACCCGTCCTGCTGGCCGGGAACTCACCAGGTGAGAAAGTCTTGAGGTCTCAACAGGTGATCCGTTCAGAGATTTTGTTGTGATTTTGAGGCCACACACACAGATTTCTGGCCATACCTCTGTTGTATAGGCCTTTTAAGGACAAACAACTCAAGACTTGCTCAAGGAGATGGATAAGAGTATGGAACATTTCAACAACATGACAGTTTTTCGGATTTTTGTTCTTTTTGTTGGACAAGAATCAAGAGATATGCAAACGTATTTTGCCCGCGAAGCCCATGTCAGATGCTGAGGTAGATGATCTTACCCGAGGAGAGGGCGGTGGGGAGTGAGAGGTGACAGTGAGCCAGAGTGAGCCGATCGGAAGGGATGGGAAAGGGTGGGTTAATACATCATTGAGACATCGTTGTTTGTGGGGTCATTTTCGTTATGACAAGAGGCCAAGGCTCGGACAGAATTCTGGATTCTTGTCGTCATTCTGGCAAATACACCAAGACTCCTAGTCATCAGAATGAATACCTTGCATAGGTCCTTTGAGTCCCTCGAAGCCTTTCTAAAAGAAGTTCCTCCGATCCATTTCCATCACTTCCGCATCAGCTCAACGGGTTTCGCTCAGCTCTCTCAATCGGCTCAGTTCCGCATTCAGTTCTGCTGTCCGTGCACGCCACGGAGGCATTCCAACCTACTAGCGGCGATGGCCTCCAACCTAAGAGCGATGGCCTCCAACCTAAGAGCGATGGCCTCCAACCTACTAGCGATGGCCTCC